CTGTTCCCATCTCCTCAATTCCCCAATAAAAATCTTAAAAAAAAAAAAGTTGAACATAAATTTACCTGTGATCCACAATTCTATCCTTAGGTATCTATCAAAAAACAAAAAATAAAACATATATGGACACAAAGATTTGCACACAAATGTTCATAGTAAGATTATTCATAATAGCAAAAAACAAGAAAATGGAATGGTTCACTGATGAATGGATAGGTAAAATGTGCTACATCATACAATAGAATACTATTAAGTAATAAAAAGGAACAAACTACAGATACGTGCAACAATATGGATGAACCTTGAAAACATTATGCTCAGTGAAAGAAATCAGACACAGAGACTGCATATTGTATGATCCCATTTATATGAAATATCCATAAAAGGCAAAGCTATAGACTGGAAGTAGAACAGTAGTTGCCTGGAGAGACGGGTGGGGTAAGGAGAAAAGAGACAGCACAGGGATTAACAGTAAATACAGAGGGTGCCAAAAAAATGTATAAACATTTTAAGAAAGGAAAACCTATTAAAATTTAATACTCAATATATACCAATAACAAAAGATGAATACAAGTCATGTTTGACTTCTGCAATTACAAGAGGTTACCATCAGCGTCCAGACACTTCTGATTACAGCGAACTACTGCTTGAACAACGTTGACCAAAGTGTCCACTTGTATATGTCATTTTTTTGGTACCCCCGGTATACATGAGGGATCTTACTGGGATGCAGAAAATATTCTAAAATTATTTATGGCGATAGTTGCATAACTTGGTAAATGTACTTTAAAAATCATTGAATTTTATACTGTGAATTACATGATTTGCAAAATAAACCTTAATTTTTTTAGTAAAGAAAAAAGAGCTAGCACATAAAAATCCAGGTTTCTGCTTCCCTTGAAAAATGAAAAGATTTGGAACTTCAGCAACAATCTGTTGATGTCTTAACTGCTGCTCATTTTTAGACAAAGCATGCGTTCTCCAGTGTGCCTCAGTTGCCCCTACTCCCTGTTGTCTCTTAAAGCCAAACTGCTTTATTCATTGACATTCTTTGCCTGGTCTTTTTAGGCATTAATTGTAGTTTTCAGTCTCTGTCATGCCTGTTGAGGGATTTCCTATCAGATCATTCCAGAGAGATAAGAAGAAAGGTGGTATTTCTGAGTCGAAGAGCTGTTTCCCTGACAAAGGTGAAGGAGTAGAAGGTTTGAAGTGCCCGTCAGTATAGACAGGGCCCCTCTTTCCAACATGAAGTGGTAGTACCTTGGGGCACAGACTGTATAACCATCTACAGCTCACCTGGGGCAATAATACCTGACTTACGTGATGGATCAATGCTCAACTGTGGCATCTTGAAATGTAAGGAGTAATGGTGAAAACAGAGACTCAAATGAGCTAAGAAAGAAGGAACCTTCCAGAATTTTCTTGGGCCCCTTAAACTCTGGAGTTCTGGGGGAAAAAAAACATGAGAAGAGGTTCCTGAAAATTACTAATTTAAGACTTCTTGCCAGCCACATAGGATAAGGCTAAGTCAGATTTAATTTGACTTAGAAAAATGAAGGTGTGATAGTCCTTGCCTCCTAATGTCTTAGAGCAAGTCATACCTGTGGCAAATGCTTACTGAGTGTCTTTTGTGTTTAGCGATTGTACCAGGTGCTGAGGAAAAGCCTATATCTTCACAGGAGCATACAGAGGCATACCTCTGAAACTGTATGCAAAATTTATGGTGTGTTCTTCTTTTCTGGGGAGAAGATCTACAGCTTTTAGTAGATTCTCAGAGACCTCTGATCCCAAAAGGTTGAGAAACTGCAATATAGTATAATAAGTACAGCAAGATGCAGGGACACATAAGAGGGACACTTAACCCAGAACAGTGGCAGGGGTAAGGGGTGGGGGGAGTTTCAGAAAGTCTTCTTAGAGAAAGTTATGCTGAAAATGTAATCAGAAGAAGAAAACATTAACCAAACATTAAACAAGAGGAAAAATCTTCCAGAGAAAGCAGCACATAGAAGGGAGAACACAAGGCTTTCCAAGTTCAGAAAGAAGTTCAGAGTAGCTAGAGAAAAGAGAACAAGCATGGAGGCGTGGTGAAATCTGGGACTGAGGAAGTAGGCAGGACCAGACTGTGTATGTAAACCATAAGGCAGAATTTGATTTTATCCAGAGGACAATGGAAAACTATGGAAGAATTTTAATTTGAAGAGTAACAGAACAGGTCTGTGTTTTAGAGGAATAACTGTGGTCATAATGCA